CGCGACCGTGGTTGTATGGCGATGCGTCGCCATGGCATTCCCACGAAATGCGATACGCGTCAGCGCCAAGCGGATGGTGCCGATTGCCGCCCCCTTAGCCTCTTCGGTCCTCCCGTCGGGCTAGACAGGGAAACTCGCAGCCATGGATGCTTGGAAGGCTTGCGACAGCGCCGAAGGACACTTTCTTTGTCTCCGTGACCAGTCTTTCCTTGCCTGAGTTTCATGTACGAGACGCAGATGCATACTCCGACGGCATTGCATTAATCTTTCAGCGCTTCGCACGCGACTTTACATTCTTTTACAACCTTCAATACATGCCCACCATGGCAATCCGCCCGCTCAATTCGAGCCTTATCTTCGACCGGCGCGTTATACTCGCTCTCACGGCTGCCGTAGTCCTCGCCTTCACATTCGCCTTCCTCTACTCACCCGACCTACGTCCCAGCTCGGAATGGCTACCACCTCTCAGCTCGAAACCGACGTCCACCTTCTCCGCGCCGCTCAAGAACACCGAAGACCCCTACATCGTCGAGCTGGACTACCTAGCCATCAAGCCAAACGTCTCGGACAAGGTTAGGTTCTACTGGAACATACCATATGCCGCAGATGCAGGAGGCCAGAACAGGTTTCGCGGACCACAACCGGTGAACAGGACATATGGCGTTGGTCGGGGCGAGAAGCCTTTGGTGTGGGATGGATCATTGGGCATGTGCCCAAGAATCCAGAAGATTGATCCAACCCAGCGAAACAGGGAAGATATCTCAGGGCCGGACGTGCTGGGTATCAAGACTCGTTCCACTGAGGATTGTCTGAGCTTGAACGTCTTCACGCCGATTGACGCTGAGGCAGGCGACGACCTACCAGTTTTGGTCAACATCCCCGGTGGTGGCTTCCATCTCCCAGGACGCAGCAATGGAGGCGAGATGGTAGAGAAGGCGCGACGCGAAAAGGGCGTGGACGGCAAACTCGACAAGGGCATCGTTGTAGTCACCATGTACTACCGCAACGGCATCTACGGTTTCCTCTCTGGAAAGGAGATTGCAAAGGACGGCGATTACAACAACGCGCTGCGCGACCAGAGAGCGGCGCTGGAATGGGTCCAGAAGTATATCAGGTACTTCGGAGGCAACCCCGACCACGTCGTCATCATGGGCACGAGCGCTGGCGGCGCGTCCGTAATGCTGCAACTGACGGCCAACGAAGGCGACAACTACCACCCTGTCCCGAGCGTAGGTCGCAAGCAGCTCTTCCACGGCGCCATCGCCCAGTCTCCCGCGAGCCCAACATTCTTCACCCCCGACCAAGCCGAGAAGTTCTACAATGAGGTCGCAGACGGACTGAACTGCACAGACATCGCATGCGTGCGCAACGCAGCAACAGGCGATCTCTACTACGAGAACTACCCCATGAACTTCCCCGGCCGCGACACACCCCCACGCTGGATGTGGGCGCCAACCACCGAGCCCGCCGGCGGCATGTTCACGGCACCCGCCCCAGCAGCCATAATGGCGGACCGCTACGCCAAGGTCCCCACCATCATCGGCTTCACCTCGAACGAAGGCTCCGACCAAGTCAAGAAGACAACCGACAACGAAGGCGAATTCAAATCCTACCTCAAAGACCACTACCCGCTTCTCACCGACGAAGACCTCTCCACCCTCGTATCAACCTACCCCAACGACCGCCACTGGCCCGACAGCGGCGCTTGGTGGGACGCCGTCGCAAAAGCCCAAGGCGACATCCGCTACATCTGCCCTACCTACCTCGCCTCCAACGCCATGTCCCTTCACAACCCGCCCTCCGTTCCTACCTACCAATACCAATGGGACGTAATGTGGGGGCCCGATATAGAGAACGGCTACGGTACCAAGCACGCTGGCACCGTTGGCCAAGTCATGGTGCGCCGCCAAAACGAGATTTCGGATTACTTTATTAGTTTCGTCAAGTTTCTTGATCCGAACCGCGAACACGATGTTATTCCTAGGGAGAATGTCAAGATTGCTAAGTGGGAGCCGTTGGATAGTACGGGTAGGCGCATGTTCTTTACGAATATTAAGGAGGGCGGGCAGAGGGGGGATGGCCAGAATATGTATGGCAAGATGCGCACGGAGATGAGGGGCAGGGATGATGAGAGGGAGAGGAAGTGTGGGGTTATCAGGGGCATGTTTAGGAGGTTGCAGTTTGAGGGTGTGGAGGCGCTGAAGTTGGATTGAGCGATTGGGGTTGAGGATGAGATGTGGCTGTCTTGCATTTGAAGGGGTTTGGAGTTGCATTTGCGATATAGATTTTTTTTTTTTTTTCGTTTGATGTTGTATGAATACCACATTCTTTGCACGTTCAACATTGGTTTCATGTATGGGATTTGGTTGAAATGGAATCCTCAATTGGTATAAAACGACGTGCTAAACCCCAGACTAACAGAAATAGATCTTCCCAGATCTCGCGATTGACCCACACACCCACATCGACATCCGTAGCTTCCGCTCTTCCGCGCATCCTTCGTAACATAAACACTGGTTCCTAGATCCCTTCGCGCTGATTGCAGCCCATGAACACACTCTCTTAGATCTTCCTAACATGCTCAATCAACTCCGCCACGTCGTTATGACTCAAACTCTCATCATCAAGACTCATACCCAGCTCCTGTTTCTTCTCATCAAGATTCTCCCTCTTCCCATCTAAATCACGCTGCGAATCGTGCTCCAGAGGCGTCGCCTTGGTCTTCTCATCCCTCAGCACCCTCAAGTCGCCCGTCTCGACCGCAAACGGCGATGCAGGCGGCGGGCTGACCATATCAGCGCTCGTTTTCCTTGCGTGCTCTACGACTTCTTGCAGATCGGCGTGTGAGAGACTGCCGTCGTCGACACTCATGCCGATTTGCGCTTGTTTCTCTTCCTCTTCGCGCTTCAGACGGTCGATTGGGTTTTCAGAAACGGGTCCGGGGGAGTCTTGTTGTTTGGAGTCTTTTCTGCTGACCCAGCGGACGAGCTCGTCGACGTCGTCGTCGGTGATGTGGCGTTTCTCTTTGATGGGCTCGATGGACTCGCGGCTTCGGGGGCGGCCTCGCTGTTCCTCTTCGTCGTCGATTTCGTCAAAGGTTTCTTTGACTGGAGTGGACGCCGCAGATTCTCCGCTCGTGCCGTCGTGGCGCTTGAACCAGCGGCCTAGTTCGGGCACGTCGGAGTCGTAGTGCTCGCCTACGTCGGAATCCAGTTCGGGTCGTTGGAGGTTGCGGCGTACGGGGCCTGCTTTGGGTCCGTCGCGATGCGATATCCAGCGTACGAGATCGTCTGCGTCTTCTTCTTCGTCTGAGGAAACTTCTCGGATTTCGCTATCGGATTCAGTCGATGCGTCGCTGTATCCTGAATGTGCGTCGTTGAATACGGCGGTCTCTTTGGCGTCAGATTTTCTGCTAGCAAAACGAACAAGATCTTCGACATCTGACGGCCCCAGGCTCTCATGACCACTGTCTTCTTTCGCTTCCACTACGTCGCCGCCCTTCCGTCGTTCACCGTCGCTAGGGGGATCTCGTCGGCTAACCCATCGTACCAATTCGTCCACATCGGAATGATCGATACTCTCGTTGTCACTTTCATAGCGAGCCGTGGATGCTTCTCGTTGGTCCTTCTCGTTGTCGGAAGAAGCTGTGGATGCGCGATCATTGAATTCGACTGGCGCACCATCCTCCCTGATCTTCTCCATATTCCCTGCTTCCTTGGTCGTCATCCGTCTTACTGTCATCCGGATCCTACTTCCAATTCCACCTTTTCCTGATGCATCCTGCTCAGGTGTTCCCGGATGATGCATCTGGCGTTCGGCGTGTTGAGACCGCCATTTGTCTGCCGCATTTTGCTCCTTTTGGCAATCTTCTTGCGCGGCAGTCTTCATCTGGTCTTGAATCCTCTGTTGAAAAATCATGCTGCGCAAGGAATGGAATCGCGCCATGTGCGGCTGCTTTTGTCTGGACTTTGCGGACTTATCTCCGCTGCCACGCGCCGAAGACGGCTTAGAATGGTCAGAGCTTTTGCTGGTCGTCTTCAGGGAACTCCTGCTTGGTGATAAAGATGAAGGGCGAGGCGCCTGGGCAGCAACGTGCTTTTGCTTGTCTTGGCGCAATTTCTGAGGGTCGAGTGCTGGCTTAGTGTGTTGTTGAGCGGCACGTTGATCTTCTTCTTCGGATGGGTCTTTTTCTTCGCTGCTATCACTGTCCGATTCGTCGTCGCCTAAACCTTCCAGTATTTGTGTGACTGCTGGGGACATCAAACTGTTCATGCGACCGAGTTGCTTGCGCTGGTCTTGAGGCATCTGATCTATATTCGTAGCTGGCGGCGCCTTCTGCGGCTGGAGATCGAAGTATGACGCCATGACTTCTAGAATGGTCCTTTCTCCCCAGTAAAGATGATGCGTGTTTGAGGTCCGAGGATGCCAATGGGCCAGATATGGAGCGGGATAGAAAAGAGCTCAGGTGAGGGCAGTGCTCTTGGAAGGCTTGGAGTTCTGCAAAGTGTCGGGCTCGCAGACAAGCTAGCCTGTTATCGCAAGTCTCTACCCCGCATTTTATGATGTCACGCCTCGTGAGTGGCCGGGCGCGCTGATTCAGCTGACTAGTGCAGTGACGATCGGCGTGGCAGGCTTGGGCGACATCACCGCTTTAAGTTTAAGATCTAGGGCTCCATGCCTGGCGCATCAGTTGCGACGACCGTTGAGATCGGAGGCTTTCACTGGCGAATCTGGATCGCCATAGGTGGGATCTGACGACCGATGAGGCTGACATACTTGACGTGAGACGGCACGGCAGGTGAGGTTTCATGCATCTTCCCGCCTCCATGACCGGTGCTGTTGCGCACGGCTCGATCCGCACGATCTATGGGCATGCGCTAATGAACGAGGTCAATCTTATCAACTTTTCAACATTGCTTCCCAGGGTCTCCCCTTTGTCAAAACTACAGTACCGGATCCTCATGCCAGACATTTCCAGCCGATGATGCTATTTGACGATTCTACGCGACCCGCTTTGTACGTCTGCCGTACTGCTGGGATGCTTCGGCCATGTTGAAAGCTAGAAGATTCGGTGTGGTATCATGGAGAGTACTTTCATCGATCGCGCCCTTTGTCGCGACGCCAGCCATGCTTTCGCACAACCCTTCCACAGGCCATCCTTGACCCATGAAGTACGCGGCTAGACCAACGATATGAGGGGTTGCCATGCTCTGGACGTGAGGGCGGATAGTCAGCGCGCGTCACACCGACACTTATCTGGGAGTGTACTTACAGTTCCAGAAATCGTATCGATCGATTTTCCGATCCAAGTGCTGGTGATGTCAACACCGGGTGCCAGAATGTCGACTATAGGGCCATAGTTGGACCATTCGATGAGCGTATCGTTAATGGCTGTAGCACCTACGGTGCAGACACTAGGTTCAGATGCCGGAGACGAGTATTTAGCGTCGCGTCCCTCATTGCCCGCTGCGACCCCGAGGAAGATTCCCGCTGCAACGATGGCAGCGGCCTAGATCGTTGTTAGCTGAATGTCTGAAAAGGGACGGGATGGGTTACTCACAGCATCATTCAAGGCCTGCGTCTTGCGCCCTCCAAGACTCATGTTGGCCACGAAACCGTTGGGACATTCTCCAGCCTCACTACGTTTTGCTGCATCGGTAATAACATACTCCATACCCGCAAGTACGCCCTCGGTTGTACCAGAACCGTACGAGTCCAGTACACGGATAGCGAGCAGCGTTGTCTTCTTTGCCACGCCCCAAGTCATCGAGCCGATTGTACCAGCCACGTGAGTTCCGTGGCCCATGGCGTCGATCATGGTGTCCTCACCGCTGAAGTCAGCTAAGAATAAAGCCCCTTTCAATTCGTTAGCGCGCATCTCTCAGGCCGAACGATTCATACATACGCCCTCCAAATTCTGGATGTTCAACCTCGATGCCTGTGTCAATGACGTATCTGCGGTCGCTTTGTGAGCAAAGTTCACATAGGCGCAAATACGGTTGGTAACATACGCGCATGTACCCTCCCCAGCGCTGGAATCGAAAAGATAACTCGTTTGATACGGCTCGGCATGAGAGATACGAGCCAACCCCCACGTAGAGTTCAACTGTTGCACGATCTCGTTGCTATGAACCTTGGCGTTTTGTTCAATGTACTCAACCTGAGTACGTTAGTTCAGGTACGTTAATTTGGACGTATAGCTTACATGCTCAGAAGCCTGAAGTCGAATAAGTTCTTCCTCAGAGATACTGCCGGCAAATCCTCGGAATCCAGGCATTGCGTATTCGTAGCCGGGTTTGGTGGACATGGATGCCATCAAGTCGTCGTGAGCTTGCGTTGCTACGTCGCCCTTCATCTTGACGATCCATCTGCCAGCGATGCCATCCTCGCCGTCGACCCTGGTCAATGGAGCAGAAATTGCCAATGAGATGAGAGCGAGTAGTACTGGAGTATACATGTTTCTGAGCCGTTCGAACCGAATATGCTGGAAGGGATAAATAAGGAGTTGGGTTTCAAAGAAAAGGTGAGAGGTCGGATCCTTCACGTTGAATTGTACCTGCATCAGCGGCAGAACCGAAACTTAAATACAAATGCAGTACAACCCGTACCAGCATCGACGACGGCCGGCTCATTCGAGAACCAATGGCGCAATCTGAAGGACCAGTTAGCAACAGCGCTCGCGCGTACGCACAGGCAGTGTGACCTTTCACGGACCACGTTAGGGCATGCTGTCTGGCGAGCGCATGCTACTTTGCAACACCAACAAGAGCACAAAATATACCGTTATCTGACACCGCGCATGCTGCTGGACCTTGGGTCGACGACATGGGTGCACGCTTCACGGCCCTATGATCTGACTCGTCTGGCGTTATTTCGACGGGCCGGGTGCTCAGTCGTGTAGAACTCTGGTCGTGTAGATCACACAATAGGTCTATCAGAGCTTTTGTGTCTCCCGCGGATGGTACATAGTCACCTTGAGAGGTATATGGCGTCCAGATAACCAGAGGGCAGAGTCCAGTCCAGATCCAGCACTAACGGACCGTGACCACGGGAAGGAAGTTGCCTGAGACCCAATGGGCTTGAACAAAGAACCGATTAAAGGTCGTGTTACCTCTAGCGAAGCGCTGTGCTATGTGGTCTGTTATGATGCGGGTTCCTACATGATGTTGTTGTTGTACCCGGTGGGCGCTAACATTCAGCGTCTTGTCGTGGGACATCGACGACTGGTATAGAACAAGCACTCTTATCAAGAGCACCATAGACACACTTTGGATTGCCGATGCACTTGGAAATGTCGATGGGTCTGCCAACGGGTCGTGGGGTGTGAGGACACATTGGGTGCATGCGCATACAGCGATTGTCAAAGAGAGTATTGGTACGACGGACAGAGCGTGTCCGCGCCAACAGTCCATCAGTTTTGTTGACAGTCATCCCTGGGTGGGATCGCGGGTTTGCGCATGATGTCTGGCGAGATTCTGCAGTCTATAGTCAAAAGTACTGGCAGGTGCGCAACTGTGTTGGCTAAACCATACTGTGGGGAACATGGTCGCGCTAGGTATGTCGCCTTACAGTACACGGTTCATGAAATAGTCGAAGGTCGTGCTTCCTGTACTGGCGATTCATTTCATCAATGAACATCCTTCGACTTAATTGAGAGGCAAGCTTCAATTCCCTACCAGCTACAGCTATCAACACACCAAGTCTGGTGACTTTGGATACGCCAGCGCAAGGTCGACTATTGTAAAAGCCACACAGCCTATCGTATGTTTGCCACCTTCGGGTACCTCACAAAGTAGCCAGCCATTTCTCCAACGCCTCATTAACCTCTTTCGGCTTCTCCAACTGTACCCAATGCGATGACTCAATAGTCTCATAGGTCAAATTCTTCACATCCCGCTTCATCCTCTCCGCCAACTTCGGCTGCACACTAGGCGAGCACACAGCATCGTACTTCGCATCAATGTACAGGAACGGAAACTCCAACACACCATCGTTCTTCTGGCTCTTCGCATACTCGACATTTGCTTCATGGTTGAAGTAGTATGCGTTCGCACCGAAGAACCCATGCTTCTTCTTGCTCTTCAGCAGGCTTTCGTAAAGATGCGCGTCCAACGATGTGTACGAAAGTGGGATGTCAGGAAGGTTTTCCGGATGACCACCAAACCAACCTCCGTCTCTCAAGACACGGCTTGTGGGTGAGGGCTGGCCCCACTTACTGCCATCGCCTTTCACATATAAGATCTTTGTGATGACATCCAAGTGGCCGTCGAACGCTTTGACGCTTTGCTCAGGTTTCACTTCGTAGTACCGCATGTACTCCCAGTTTCCCCACTCAGTCTCGCTCTCGGGGTAGAGCTCACGGTTAATGGTGGTCTTGAGGTATTCGAGGCCCAGCTCCACGCTTCGGTAAGGGACGCAGAGGTTTGCCATGGCAATGAAGAGTTCAGGGTAGTGTGCAGCAAGTGCGTTGGTGACGCCGCAGCCCCAGTCGTGACCGATCCATACTGCCTTTTCTATGCCTAGCTTTGAGGCGAACTCAACGAGCTCGGGAACGAGAACTTCAAGGCGGTAAGATTCCTTTTTCTGGGGTGCCGTTGAGTCGCCGTAGCCGCGCATGTCAGGTGCGATGACACGGTATTTCGATGAGGCAGCGAAATGTGTGAGTTGGTGTTTCCATGATTCTGCGATGTCGGGCCAGCCGTGGATGAAGACTAGGGGAGTGCCGTCTGCAGAGCCTCCTTCGTAGTAGTGCGTGACCTCACCATTTTGGTGGGTGATGTCGCCTGCGGTGAATGAGTCCATGGCGTGTACTGGTGCAATAATCCTAAGATGTTTGGTAGAAGATGACGTGGACTGGAGATTTTGTATACTGGTAGAGAAATGGGCCGATGAAGGTTCGTACGATACCGACTCTTGGGGACCTCGGTAGACCCACCACGAAGTGGGTATGACGACAAATACGGATTCAGACTAGACCATAAGTTGCGGCGTGGTCAGAAATGTTGAACGCACATGTGATAGTGTTGTATAACACCAGAAACCCGAAGTAAGCTGACTGTGGAAGCACCCTTGCATTGGACTGCATAGGATCTTTCGCGGCGCTCAACTCGGTTGACACGCAGCGTAAATTCAGAGTACCAGCAGTTGGTGGATGATTTGAAGGGTCTGAGGCCCAGCTTAAGGATAGAATAAGAGGATCAGTTGACTAGCAGAACGCGAGAACTATGTGTCGATTTCCACGTCCACCAAAGAGCTTCGGACTTCGCTCCATCATCCAAATGCGTTCCGGAGGGATTGATCGAGTGTGATTGGCCTGTACAGTATCCTCCTAGGCCACTGGCACGAGCTCGAGAGGATTTATCTCGCCATGTCCAGCATCTAGGGGCTCATACTCCAGTCGGCCGAGACTTGGGACCGAACATTCCGATGAACCAGGAAGCCAACGGAGGGCGGTCGAAAGTGTGAGAGCAGTAGCGTTCATCGAATGTCGATGACAGTGTCTCATACGCTTGTTCTATGGTACGGTGCTAGCATCGGTCGTCGTGCGAGAGCTACCGGCATGGTCCGCTGTTGACAGCGCGCGCGTGCATACTAGCAACGCTTGCAGTCTTTGTTCTACTGAATACCCTAAGGTGCAGTGAGTACCGGTGTTCTTACATACATTATTGGCCTTTTGGGCGATATCCACCGCGCAGTCTGCTCTCGTGTGTGGGAGTTCGCAGGCGTTGTCGAAACTCTGAAGCGTGTCGGCGCAACGCGAGCTTCTTACGGCCGTAAGCCCACAACGCGAAGAAACGCGTCATACGTGGCCGAAAGCGTTGGTATTGTTCTGTGATCAGCTCATCCCGCGTGTAAGCCGACAGCTCAGATAACTTCCGCGTCGTATTGCTGTTTCAGATGCTTCGCGCAAATTGGAGAGGCGGAAGCGGCAGTTGGATGATGAAGTTGGTGGCGCACCTCATCGCTCGAACCCTGGAAGCGTTCCGAACTTCACCTTGGTCCGTGCGCCGAGGCGGCTGGCGGAAGGAAGATGGCAGCTGCAGCCTTAACCGCAATGTCTCCTAATTGGAATTGCGGGGCGAGATTGAATCTTCCGATGAACCATGCTGATCAACGTTGTGCCAATATAGCCTTGACAATGCGGGGAAGGCTTCAGCCTCTGGTACCGCATGCAGCTAGCTATGTATGATGCGTGGTACTTGTTCAAGCTATTGTTAGTCGTCCGAGGTCGCAGAGGTCAGACAAAGATGCGGTGGGTTTAGATCTGGAAGGCTTTGTTAGGGGTTAATGATCGTTCGGTAGGTGAACACGGTGTGTCACTGATCGTTACACCGAGAGATACCTTCCGTGTATACATCCCTAGAAGCTAGATATTCGCCTGTACGAGTGGAATGCTTTCTTTGTTTGCGTAGACACATGTTCTGGTAGACCCTGCATAAACGCGGCTGACTAGGGAGGACGACGCAGGGCATGTGGACGCAGCACCGTTATGCTAACGCGTAAGGCGACGCCTCTCCAAGCCACCTACGACGCGGCAGAGTCAACAGTATTCTTGCCGAAACAATGAATGACCCATCGTGACACATGGGCGTCTGGTACAGTCATGATGATGAGGCTTAGCGTAAGCCACCCCCACAGGATCATTAGTGACGGTATCACAAAGGCCGTTTTCGTGATGTCGATCTCCACATCCAAATGCCGTAGTTACGAGATGGCATTCTGTATTCCCATCGTGGACCAGCGATCGAGATTATGGGGCGACATATCAGCAATCGATGCAAAGACCCAGCACTGGGGGCGTTCTGGATGAGTAACTTCATAGATTGTATCTCCATTGGTGCTATCGACTACCAAGAGACAACTACCGCGATCATGACTTCATAAGAAAAGAAGGAAGGGAACCTTCGACTTCTAGCAATGCAAAACTAGGAAAAACTCGATGCAACATGCTCATAAAGCGCCGCCAAGAAGAAAGAATGCTTAACCGCTGGGGTTGCCGTTGAAGGCAAGGTTGTTGACGGTGCCGGAAGGAACACCGGAGATCTTGTTCTTCAGGGACAGGGTGGTGAGACGGCTGGAGAGTGCAGCAGGAGTCTTCTTGCCCTCGAAGCCGAGAATGTAGGCGGCGAGACCAGCAACGTGAGGAGTAGCCATGGAAGTACCGGAGATGGAGTTAGTGCCACCGTTGTTCCAGGTGGAGAGAATGGAGACACCAGGAGCAAGGATGTCAACGACGGAACCGTAGTTGGAGAAAGAAGCGAGGCGGTCAGAGCTGTCGGTGGCACCGACGGTGTAGACAGTAGGCTCGGATGCAGGCGATGAGTTGCGAGCATCGGCACCATCGTTACCGGCAGCGACGGCCATGAAGACGCCAGCGCTGACTGCGTTGGCCGCGGCAGCGTTGACGGCAGTGGAGCGAGATCCACCCAGAGACATGTTGGCAACAGCACCGTTGGGGCAGCTGCGGGTTTTGGCGTCGTTGGCGACGAAGTTGATACCGGCAATGACACCAGAGTTGGAGCCCTGTAGATCATTAGCAAACTGTTCAGCTTAAGACGCATTGTCAACCTACCGAACCACTGGCATCGAGGACCTTGACAGCGTAAAGCTTGGTCTTCTTGGCCACACCGTAGGTCTTGGATCCGATCGTACCAGCGCAGTGGGTACCGTGACCGTTTCCGTCCGAGTTCTGACCATCACCAGCATAGTTGGCGAGGAAGGTAGCACGGCCCTCAAACTCGGGGTGGGCAGTGTAGATGCCAGTGTCAATGACATAGGCGCAAGTACCAGCACCAGCAGTGGTGTCGTAGATGTAAGAGCTGGTACCAGGCTGCTGGTGGGAGATACGAGCAAGGCCCCATGTGGAAGAAGACTGGGTTGTGTAGGCCTTCTTCTCGAGGTGCGACTCGCCAAGGTTAGCCTTGACAATAGCATCTTGCTCAATGTAGTCGACCTGGACTGTGTCAGTACTGAATATGATCCTCTGAGGCTGTATAGCTTACACCTGGCAGGTTGCGGAGCAGCTCGACAATGTCGTCGGCCATATCAGCGGAGAAACCGCCAAATCCAGCGAACTTGTAGACGTGGGCAGGGTCCTTCTTGAGAACCTTCAAGGCGACGTCAATGAGGTTCTGAAGGTTCTCGTTCTTCATCTTGACGATCCATCTTCCGGGAATGGGAGCGCCAGCACGGGGAACAATGACCGGGGCGGGAAGGGCAAGAGCCACAGGCAAAAGTGCGAGAAGAAGTGAGAGCTTCATGTTGGCAGATTGATTGAAGATGGAAGTCTTTGGAGCGAGAGACGATGAAGACTGCTGATGAGGGCTGAGTGTTGCTGTGCTCGTGGCCTGATGCTGTAGGAGGGCGTCCGGTACCTCTTATATAGAGGTGCTTGATAATCTGGTGTTGAGACGAGATGGCAGGAGGCAAATGCACCTTCCAATAAGGACTAGCAGCCACCGACAAGGCGGTCTCGTGGCATGCCGACGTACCTGAACCACAGCACAAGGTGTGTTAGTCGCTAGAACGGCTTAAGATGGCGTTTGAACCACTCCGATACCTAGTTGGGTAGGTGCTACAGTGTGTTCGGGCACTACTTGCTCTCAGCCCACCTTAGCAGCGGTAATAGAACGGGCGGAAAGTCTTAGAGAAGGAGGAGGATGTTGCGCGTAGCAGGTCAGACGCGCAAGTCTTGGCAGAATGCACTATAGATTGGCATGCTTACTAGTTTAGGGATGTGAATAACGTCGCGTAGAGATTCAACGTAGAAACCGGTGCGTGGACGCGATTGGATGGGGCGGATCGATCTGCAGCCATCCTGATAACGGCGTAGAGGTGATGAGTGGATCAATACTAGGTCGGCTGTCAAATGAAGCTGTTTCATGCAGGATTATCGCCTAGGGTCCATGGAGAGTGACCCGTCGCCTTTGTCTGTTGGTCACGGTTTGCACGAGGCAAATTCTACTCGGGCATGGCACGCTTGCCCACCCGCATCAAGTGAACCAACAGTATGTGTTCCTTTTTCATCCCTGACGGTAAGTCCCAAAGGCACGGGACGAGCCGCTACTGGCTGGAGGGTAGTTCGTATGTCAAAGTACCGAGGTAACCGTCGGAGATACTGCACAAGACTGATGTGCAGAGGACATCGAGCCAAGAACAAGGTTTACATACACCGTCACTGTGTAATGAATGACGTGACGAGAAGACCCGGCTCTAGTGATTGTTAGATGGCAAGTGTATACACGTTACCTTGAGTCTTACCTCCCTTACATATCTGCATGGATGTCCAATCTCGCTAGATGAGATGGCCAACGGGATTTGCTCCAATCATATCAGGGTCGCTTTCTCAACTGGTCGCTGCACCGATCCCGTTTCAGGCGGCTTGGAGACGTGATTTGGTTAAGAGCCAATCAGATATTGCAGTCCGACTTTATCTGGCGGGCTTGGCGAGACCGGCTATGCTGTCGTAGCGCTGTTCGGCAGCGCCGCGGCGTGCCATCATCATGCTTTTTCGTAACTCTCGAATGGCCGGCTGTATTGAACATGCAATCTTCAAGTGTTGTCATCCGACGCAGCTGCAGCGCCATCCGCTGACACCCCAAGACCCGCTAGCATTAAGCTTAAAAGCACGTAGGCGTTGAAACCACCTCCTTCTTTGGGATTTAGCATGATGCAGATCAATATAGTTAACCTGGCCATTAGCCACACCTCAGATAAGGCAGCAGCAGGAGAAGGATACGGGCGAATCGCGACCGCGATCTTTTGGGTAGCGCTTTTGCCAGCGCGGAATGACATGATCGCCTTAAGAGGTTCTCGTCCGGTCACGTACAGCCCTTGTTCCCGTAACCCAGGCACACGACTGGCGGCGACGGGAGATCTAGGCGTGCAGTAAGCCCGCGGACAGGAGGAAAGTGCAGCGGAAAGGCGCACTTCCTACTTCCAAGCCTTTCGAGGCGACTGCGGGCTCTTGTGGAATGGCGTCTTGCCGCTGGGTCGATCACTACCCCCGCCGGCAGATGTGAGCATGGCAGAACGTCTCCTGCCTGTTGCGTGAGGTACTCCGCCCACTAAAGTGACCTACGAGCCGTCTTCAAGTGTAGTTGGCGAAGCTGTAAAGGCGAAAGGGTGTGGCGTAGTGTTTTGGCGTGGTCCTCCAGGACCCGCTCCCATCTCAGGTCCGGATGTTGGCCGGTGCCGAGATCCCGCCGCGGGCACGTGCGCAGCGCACGAGCCAGGCCGGCATCGCTCACGATGTCTCGGTATTCTCCTGTCACGACATCACCAGCCGGTGTCGACGAGTCCCTAGGCGAAACCTTCTTACATTTTCCATCTCAACTTGAGTAACGCGCATAGATCGTCATTCGAACACCCGCTATATTCCCGTCGCAACAAGTGACAGCTGTCTGTCCCAACATCTAGGTCGAAAGATCGGCCTTCGTGGCATGTCACTACGGATAAGAACGGGTCATCACATGACTGTTGTGGTAATAGGCGCGCGTGATCTATTGGGAACTTGATGCACTTTTAGACAACAGCTCGCCGATGTGGCCGGCAGGTGAAAACGGATGATACCTCATATCAAGCGTGTATTAGGCGTTTGCTAACCCAAAAGAATCCTTTGAGTCAATAGCTCACAAGAACCGGAAGAGGTGGATGCCCACGACACACCCAGAATTCATCACCTCAAACACAGGCATCCGACACGCACTGATATCCCAAGATAGTCAACTTGTCATCCCTTCCATACCACGCTAGACACTTCCGTACGTAGCGCCAGCAGCATGATCTCCCATGATCTCCTCGTATCTCAGACCCTGCGACGATCTTCACGCGACGGTTAAGGACCTTCCCTGAGCGTCAATCTTCCGCCCGTGCCAAGAAAACGCAATCGCAACCAGCGCTTACGTCGGGCCATGACCCCACACACCTCCGCCATGGGCTGGCTGTATGGTAGAGCTAGCTGCATGTATGAGGGATGATGGCTTGCATTAGCTTACATGTTCTACATACAGGCTACTCTTTGGCCGTACTGTCTGTCTTTGCCCAACCATCATGCAGGTACACTTACTGGTATCGAGGACTTCGGTGTTGATCGATTATGCAGTCGGATGCAGTACCCATGGCGCGAGTCCTATGGCTTGCGGGACGAAGTGACCTTCCTCTTCGGTCTCTACACCAAATTTGACTGTCACAGCAACTTGATGCGACAGGTGTTCGAATGGCGCTATATACGCCATGGTTGACAAGTAGGCGTTCACATGGACAGTTCGAGTTTTCGCAAGTAGACCCCCAAAGAGAAGGTCAATCGAGCTGTTCAAGACACACAGCCCGACAACAATGTGCAAATTCACGGGATGGATTAAGACGTGTTGGTATCACCGCGTCCTGCTGCAGCATACTGTATTTAGCAACGGCCCGTCCCCTGTCCTCCAAAGCGCAGCAGAAGGATTTACGTGCATGGACGGACGGTCGCAGCTATCTAGCAGGATCTATGCAGCGCTCCTTCCGGTCTTCTAATGTAGCAATACTCTGCGAAACGATTTTCCTGATGATGGAGCCGCCAGCCACCGCGTCCTCTCCCGCCAGGAACCGGTAACAACGTCCCTTTTGACTATCAGTGGGTCCAATACATGTAGGAAGAGAACACGTACGGATCTTGAAACCCGGGATGAACAGCTCTAACCAGAAAGACAATGTATGGATCATTTTAGCACACATACAACTTCAACACCGCTGCGTAGATCAAAGCCCATCACTTTCCTGTTCCTCATCGCCGATCCCTCTCCATCCCCCTACCCCTTCAACTCCCCCAATACCAACCATCCCACCCGCCCCGGAAAGCACCTCCGTAACCCACCCCACCCTGCACCACACGCGCCGGGTGTGAGCAGATACAACGCCACCAACACAGGCACATCTCCGCAATCCTACCAACGGCTCGGCCCTTTTCTGGAAAGGCGCACAGAAGGACCAGATCCACATGCCCTGTGGAGATTTGCGATAAGGCATCATGCGGAATAAGCCTTGGTGAGTGTAGGACAAGCCTCATTAAGAAGGCGGGTGGGTGTCTTGGCGTGGGTTGGCGACCTTCCGCTCTGGGACTGTAGGGCCGGTTGGAGGGGTGGTAGGTGCGTACGTGGAGGGCATGGTGATGGCATGCTCGGGTGGAAGTTGAGATGGCGAAGTGCTGTGAGATATCTATGCGATATGTGATACCTAAACACAGCCTATTTGCGATGCGACGTACATCCACTGCTCGCTGGATAGTGGGTACGATCATATTTAAGGATGACCGAGACCTTGGCCATGACCACGCTTGCTGGTATCAAATCAGCTCGATCGTTGTATCTCGCGTGTTGTGGTATGCGTCAAGCATACTGCCTTCAACGAAGTTATTTTGTGCATCGCCTGGAAGCCCCATCAAGTCGAAATAGCCCACCCGTTCATAAACGCCAGTTTTGACTCGACTTGGTATGACCAATATGCCTTGTAGACCACTCATTACCTTGTGCGTACAGCGACGAAGGATCACCAGGCTGACCTCATCGCCTAGACCTTCTGCTGTTACGGTTGTACAGTCATCGAGCGTCACGATAACGTTGTATGGTGTCCATGACCGAACGCCCGAATCCAGTGGGGATATTGGAATTAGGCGACATCTCAATGTGATAGAGGCGTTGACGAGTTGTCCGGAAGGCTTCTGATCCACTGCGATATCTTCTAACTCCGCCATCTCATTCAAGAGATCTGACCCGGACTCGCCCTCCCACCACAACCTATGGCTCCAAATACTGCGATTGATGCTTGCCCAACTCCAAGTAGGTGCGCGCCATATAGAAGGCTTTGGAGGGGCATCATCCGGATCCCCAAAATGTGCGTCGCGTCTCCAGCACAGGTCTTCGATCATTCTGCCTCGCCATAAACCAGCAACTAAGGTGTCTTTCGTTACCTCAGCAACCGTCTGCGCAATACCATGCAGGGCAACGAATATATCTTCCTCTTTTGTTAAGCTGAGGCCAGAATATTCTTTCCTGAAGCAGCACCAGTCTTTGTGAATTCTGGACAAGACTTCACGCAAGTTGACACTAACCGAACCTCCCGACGTGATGGTCAGTTGACTCTGGTAGTCGTAGATCTTCGATTTCAAGATGTGTACTGCGGAGGCTCCATTCCACGCATACGCCTGTTCGATCAAGCAACCGTCAGGATCTTGTTCGCTGGTAATAGATTCGTCGCACTCCCAGAAAAGTTGTTCTTGTGT